TGTTTTTTTTTTTTTTTTTTTTTTTTTTAAAGCCACCCAATTTTCAAATGAGCAAAAGTATTGGAACGCGTGACCGATAGGTGTTTCTACTTACTTCAGGTGCCATGACACCGACCCTGTGGGTTGGCTGTCAACAGGCCACGTCGAGGACTCGCTGCTATGGAGCACACTTTTTACTGATAAGACGCCTTCCCATCAGCCCGTCGGAGCCCGCATTTTTATGCAATATACACTTTTGAACTGTGACGATTGGCATAAAGGTTTGAATCATTCCTTGGAGGCTTATTTTGACCTATTTGTGGTGAGAGGTTGGAGAAAGTCCCCATGCGGTGTGTGTAAAGTAGTTTCGGGCTGAGCATTTGGTACCTGAGTCCTCAATGATGACTTATTCTGATTTAATCCACCGCTTAATAGCACCACTGTCACATTACTATTGTAGAACCCGTCAATACTATACAAAAACATCATATAACAAGATGCAATTGTACCACGTGCATCATCTGGTGCAGTACAGAGTCAAGATATATTTAATATGACAAAAAGAAAAAAAAATCAGGACGAATTCTCCCACTTCACCAGCTCAACTCGGTAGTGACCTTTGAACTGCCCCACTTTCTCTTTTACATATAGAGTACATTCGGGCCTTTTTACATTGGAATGTGACAGCGGGTTGGCCATGCAGGGGGATTAGGATCTCGTCGATGCCATGTGATCCCCCCCATCTGGGAAAACTTGAGTCTTTGACTTTGGCATGGTGCAGATGCAGATATAATTGCTTGTAGATTTTTGTTTAATCTGCTCATACTCACGCACTCAAATCCTTCCACCACCACCCCAGCACCCTTTTTTTGCACAGATGTCTTTGTATGAGAAAAGTGGGCTTGTAGGGTTAATTTTTGGCTCTCTTGACTCTTCCTTGCCTTCTTCCTGCTTTTGTTCTGCAGTTCTTGAATTTTTTATTTATTTATTTTTTTTTATGTGATGCCCCAGCTCAGCTGAAATAAAAAGGAAATAGAGAAGATAACACAGTTTTAGGGCGCACATAGACATACACATTCACACATACTTTATACACTTTGAAAGATTTGGGTAAAAGAATAACCAATCAATGGGTCAAAAAAGGGACCGACTGCTATTTGGGTAAATTCGACCAAACGGTTTGGGTTTGGGTTTGGAAGAAAACTGTGAGAGCGTGTGTGTGTGTGTGTGTGTGTGTGTGTGTGTGTGTGTGTGTGTGTGTGTGTAGCGTGTGTGTGTGTGTGTGTGTGTGTGTGTGTGTGTGTGTCTGTGTCTGTGTCTGTGTGTATGTCTTCAAACGGTGCTTGATGAGTCTTTAAAAAATGTCAGTAAAGCATTGACACAAATTTTCGCAGGATAATAATGCTACTGTATGTCCTTGAATTAGCCGCTAATATTAACCGCACAGTGTACGTACGTGTGCGTGCGTGCATGTGTGTCATCCGACTGGCAGTGATTTCAATGTAAGAGTGACAAATTTGTATTTGACCAATTTGCAGTCCAACTGACTGTCTGCTGTGCCACTGACCCACTGCGGGGATGAGGGCGACGTGAGCTGCTTATACTGCGTGTGTGTGTGTGTGTGTGTGTGTGTGTGTGTGTGTGTGTGTGTGTGTGTGTGTGTGTGTGTGTGTGTGTGTGTGAGATTTAATTCTGCCGGCCGGGCTCTTTTCATTAGGTGGCGTTTGTCTTGTTGGGGTAATGAAGTGTCCTTCTCCGTGGTCCAGATGGTCTCTGGGTGGGCCCAGCGTCGTCCGTCCGTCCTCATTGTAATCTGGTCCTCAAGAAATCAGTCCAGTGATTTGTCACATGGGCGCGACAAGATCCAATTAGGTGATCGTGGCGCACAAGGTTGCAATACAAGTCATTTGATTGGGAGCACTCAGGCCCGCTTTTCTGCTGTCTAGTACTGGAGATTCCAGTATCGTAACTATCGGGAATCATATCTTTTCAGTCTAGTAACGTCCTTTGTCCCTCCGTCTCTCTCTCAAGCACTGTTTTCAGTAACTATCAATTATCTACCATTTAACATCTGTCTAGTATTGTGTTCTAGGTGTATCTCTAGCTGTTATGCTCAGCTTCATATCTAGTATTCATCTTGTATTCAATCATAGCTTCTTCGCATTTTATCATATATCGTCTAGCTAGCGAGCTAGCTACCTAGCTAACAATCTTGCCGTCTACCTAGCTAGCATTATACAGTTTTGTTTCTACAAATGTTTTATAATTAAGAACTTTATAATGCAGTGTAATAATTATGCTTGATTAATTTATTCCCCTGTATTTTCTTTTTTGATGATGTAATGAAGTAGGTTTTTTTTTTTTTTTTTTTTTGGGAATGGACAAATGCATTCCCAAAAGTTAAATGAGCAATGATGTATGTTGTATATATGTTGCACTGTATGATACAGGATATCCGGCGGTGCCGGCGATCAACTGAGGATTCCACAATCGACTGTCAGAAAGGGCCTGTAATCCAGAGTTGATAATCCGGTGGTGGTGGGGGGCGGGGGATTAGTGGGTTTGCATCTGGCATGGCATCAGCAATGGGGACCCCTCCCCCACTGCTTTACCCCACCATTACTCACTACACCACCCACATATCACCCATGCTCAGTTGTGCTTGATGCAGCGCGACTCACTAAACAGTACGGAAACTTTTATGAGTGTACTTGTCGTTTTGAATATTTTTGACGACTTCATTCATCTCAATCTACATGATGAACATTCCCGGAGGTCCTTTCGTACTCCCATTGTGTAACCTGATTACTCAGATCCGCCGTCTAATCTCACACGGCGGTGACATCATCAAAGCACCGTGCACTTTCATGTCCACGGCACAATAAGACAGCGGGCAATACAGTCCACTGTTGTTTTCCTTATTTTGAATCCGTGACCATTTTAAGACATAAAAGCACCACAATAAGCAATTAGCATATAATCAACAGATTAATCTCCAGTGAAAATAATTGTGTCGCTGCACCCGGAGGGACCCCCGTCCCTTGGTAAATCCTCCTGATGTGGGAGCAGTGATGAACACGCACTAATACTCGCTTATCTTTCAGTGTAAACAATTACTTTTGGGATCCGGCGCTGCTGCCGTGGGAATAAACGGGATGAAGATTATCCCCCTTTAAAGTCTTTGTTGTGTGTGGACCCGATTTGCGTTAACCTCAACCTGAGCGGGGATGGATACACATGAAGCACACTTTTGTCAACACACCGTGCGGGGAAATTATTTTTATTTGGGCCGGATAGCATGTTGGATTCTGGGGGGGAAAAAAAGCACTTCCCCGTCAACCAGTTTTGAATCCTGTTGTCTGTTTATTGCGGTGCATGTCTTGAAAACTTGGGCAAAATCTGCCTGATTTAACTTTTTCCATCGTGTGCCGGATGGAGCAAAAATAACTCACCAATTTTTGCTTGTGTTGTGGTGAACATTGTATGTTTAGTGCGGTGCATGGTTTAAAAAAAAAAAAAATAGAATGAGATTGCCTGTCCAAACTTTCACTTTTGGCTGCATCGCGTGCTGGATGCAGTTAAAACAGTTTGATATTTGTCACTTTTGTGATTTTCATCTCCGTTTTGTGACAAATTAAAACACATTTTGATGATCTCAAGGTGCCCAATACCCTGGACAAAGTGTTTTAGGATTAAATGAGGTGTGCAATGTGACTTTAAAAGTTGGGGTCAGGCTTGCTGTCCAACCATTGTCCATCATGTACTGGATTCAGCAAAAAGGAAAATCACTTGTATCCTGGAGAAATTGTCTTATGAAAATGTAAAAAAAATAAATAAATAATTAAACAGCTGGGCAAATGATTCTTATTCTTGTGTGAATTTGCAGATGCCCATGGCTGGCAGTGTCCATCTGCCCTGCCGTGCCGCCGTGCTGCGCCGCCCTTTTCCTTTTTGTGTTGGCCAACTTCACCATGGCGACGTTTATGGACGCTGGCATCCTCCCGATGGGTGAGGGAACAAATTGATGGAAATTCCAACTGTGGCGTCGTAAGTTATATTGCGCTCTATCTTTTTTTTTTTTCTCTCTCTCTAACCGGCAGCCAGCGACGATGAAGACAAGGACGACGAGTTCCGCGCGCCCCTCTACAAGAACGTGGACGTGAGGGGCATCCAAGTGCGGATGAAGTGGTGTGCTTCCTGTCACTTCTACAGGCCGCCGCGATGCTCGCACTGCAGCGTGTGCGATCGCTGCGTGGAGGTCGGTCATATTTATCGTATCTAGTATCAGATCGCTTAACATCCTATCCTATCACTTATCGACGTAATGTCTACAACATCACTCTACAGATATAGCAATCCATTTCATGATTGTAATCATGTTTTCAAATGATGAGTGTCCGAGTATTTTCATGAGTGCCCTACGAACAACAGGGGTCAATCCAAAATGGAGGACATAGGTGGTGGAATGGACATGAATTATTATTTTTAAAGATGTGAGGTAGGCGCAGTAGACTCATATTATTTTTGTGGGAGGGTTGGGGGGGGCAGTCAAGAAAAAGGATTTCTGTTGTGAATGACGGGCAGAACATGATGGGAAAGAGAGAGAGAGAGAGAGAGATGTCATTAATCAGGTTAATCCTTTGCTCTCGTATTTGAAGCCTCTCTGGAAATTCAATTTCTCAGAGAGTTGGGATGTTGATATTAAAAAAAATAATAATAATAATAATATATATATTGGATTTTCCATCCTCCAAAATTTGGAGAAGTAAATATCTATCCAGAGACACATCATGGTTTTTTTCCCCGAAACATTTCCAAAATTTTTCAAGTGTCTCTAATGCAAGCCCACATCAAAATTATACATATGTACTTTTAAAATGGCTTTTATGATGTAAATGGCTGAAAAATGATTTTTTTTGGGCTTGTAAAATGGCATCTTGAAACGTAAAATGTGGTATTTTCCCCTTTTTTCCTTGTCTTTTAGATGACAACCTCTTTGTTTACAAGCCGTTCACAAGTTAACGTCTTCTTTTTTTTTTTTGTGTTTGTGTGTCACTCACCGCGCAGGATTTTGACCACCACTGCCCGTGGGTGAACAACTGCATCGGGCGGCGCAACTACCGCTACTTCTTCCTCTTCCTGTTGTCCCTCACCGGTCACATGGTTTGCGTGTTCAGCCTGGGCCTCGTCTTCGTGCTTCACCACACCGACCAGCTGTGGAAGCTGCACTGCACCGTCACGTATCCTTCCTGCAGGCGCACGGAGAAGAAGTCGAGTTATTCCTCACCTCACTTCGAGCTTCTTTTCGTTCCTCAACATAGTTCCCAAACAGTTTGGTCGTGATCAGCATATCGGGCCTGTTTCTCCTTCCCGTCCTGGGCCTGACGGGCTTCCATCTATTCCTGGTGTCGCGGGGACGCACCACCAATGAACAAGTCAGTCGCATATTGTTGTGTGGGCTGGAAACAATAGTCGACTGCCCCCAATTTGTCAAAATTATCAACTCAAGCCTGATCTACTCTGTAAAAAGCACAAACTTGTATTTTTGTGGGGGCTAAATGTCATTTTGTTTTTTTGATAATCCCTCAGGTCACGGGGAAATTTCAGGGAGGAGCGAATCCATTCACTCGAGGTTGCTGTAACAATCTGGAGTACCTGGTGTGCAGTCCCATCTCGCCGAGGTAAGACACATCACCCTTCAAAATGCGGCTGACATTGTTTCTGTCATATTTCAATTTACATTTTTAGGCCAATACAAATTCAGGTAGATTTTTTTTTTTTTTTACGTTTGCGCCGATTCTGAGTCTTCCAGTTTTTTTTTTTTCCTCTAGTGCATCAGGTTTTCATAATAAAGTAAATCAGTAAAATGGTGGCCCGCCTCCAAATTATGAGATTATCTTTGTGATCACCAGGTACTCGGCCAGGCCTCGCAAGAAGTCTGTGATCCACATTCAGCCTCCCTTCCTGAGACCGGAGCTTGACAGGCAGCTGTCCGTCAAAGTGAGCGACAACGGCAAACACAGCAGAGCCTCCGCCGGACCAGATCCTCAGAAAAGTCCGCCCCCGTTGCCGCCCAAACCAGAACACGGGCTGCTGAAAAGTCACCTCGCCGTCATGGAAGGTACAAGACCACCAAGACCGATAGTCCTGCACAGTGATGTAGATTATAAAATGGACTGACAGTTTGTTGCTTTTTGTAGGCGTAAAAAGCAGGATTGAAATTTTTTTTTTTATATTCAATATTCTTCAGCTAAAACTACAAAATACTGTTTTCATTCTTCTTCTTTCAAACGTAAACAGTGCTGCAATCTAGTGATCGACAGTGAAATTACACCTAAAATAAATGGGAGGCAGGTCATAATAGTTTTATTCGAAGCCCCTTATGTGACGTGGAAGAAAAAAAAAACCCTTCACATTCCCTCGCAAGCCAATCCAAGATACAGTACATTATTTGTGGTCAATAAATGATTATTTACAGTTCTTTTTTTTCCCTTCCTTTCTTCAGAGATGGGTCACCACACCAAATCTATCATCCCCGTCTCCATTCCCACTGTGCCTCAACTGCGACCAGTCCTGGAGGCGATATCCCGAGGATCGTCTCCCATTCCTCCAGAGCAGGTGCTCATCTGTCCATTTTCTATATCATTTATCCTCATTTGCGTTGCTAATGACTTTGGCGAGATTGCTGCAGTCTAAGTAGTATTGTTCGTGTAATTTGTAGCTGCTGAAGACCTCAGAGCCAGCGGGAGACAGCAAAGGTCCGGACCTCCGCTTGGACACCAATGGAAGCCCCTTGAAGGGAGCCATGCCCCCTTCCTTGTCTCCCTTGCAGACTGCGACCCTCTCCGGGGCCATGACGCTCAGCTCGCGTTCGCTCAGCCTGAAACATGCCGGCCGCCACATGATCGCCAAGTCGCAGGCCAACCACAGCGGTGGCAGTAGCAGCTCTTACGACAACCTCGTCTCCACCGCGGACCCCCAGGGTCACCCCCACAGAGGAGCGCCCGCAGTGGGCTACTTCATGAGCCTGGGTCCGGACGTCAGCACGGTGCAGCGTGGCCCTCACACTTACAGCCCAGTCTTTGTGGGCGTCACCCGGCATTCTCCTCAAACCAGAGAGTTGTCGCCTTCACTGCAGGGTCTCTCGTCTCGAGACCCCTCCCCTTCATTCCCGGGGTTCATGCAAAGAGAGCCTTCGGCTGCTTTCCAGGGCCTCATGTCGAGGGATCTCACTCCAGCGGGTCTACCCATGAAGACCCAAAGTCTTCGAGACAGCCTCCGGGATGTGAGTTTGACTCCTCAGAAGACCGCCGCACCCGCCGCGTCGTCCCGTTTCGATGGCCTCTCCAAAGCCCTCATCGCATCCATTCACGAGCAGCGCGAGATAGAAGAGAGGGAGCGGATGCTGCGCTTTCACATTCCATCCCAAGCCCTGTACGGACCGGACGCCTGCGTTTACGACATTCCCTGCCGGCGCAGTCTACCGCCGGACCCCGGACGACCGCAGGGTACCCGGGGACCCACCCCTCCGGCGTATGGCTCCCGGGAGTTCCTCATGAGCACTGGCGTCCTGGGTTACGGCCCCAGGACGTCGCCCCTCTCCGGCTCGTCCACGTCATCGCTCGCCCGAGGACCCAAACCGCGCTCTTCCTCGCCAGGCCGCTGTCCCTCCGAAAGACCACCCGTCTCTCCCGCCACATGCACTCTACCCCGTTTACCCTCCTCCTCCACTCCTCCTCATGCACTCTATGGGACAACGAAACGCTCCTCGCTCACCACCTCCTCCGAGGGGAAGGACTCGTGAGTAGCCGGTCCTCTCGCCCTGGGAGCTGTAAAGTACAGCGGTACCCGATTTTGCAAGTTTATTTCATTCTGTTACCAAGCTCGTGACATCAATCCCCCTGAAAACAACACGTTCCATTGAAATGAATGGACAACTGCAGAAATTAAATTCATCCGTTCCAGGTTCCCGCCCAAAAAAAGGTTTCTTCAATCAATTATCTGTGCAGTATTTGTACCTGAAGAAAGAGCATCAGATAATGTGTCAGTTTGACTGTAAAAAGGTGATTCACTGGACAAAAAAAAAAACCCCAAGCCCTTTAATATGTGCGCCTTTAATACCGAGAAAATACAATCTTTTTTTAATGTGTTTTGACATTGCTTTTTTTTTTGGTTGTCTCCCAATCCATAGACTTTGATAGTTGTTTATATGAATAATAAAAATATTTTGTAACTGAATTTTTTATGTTGTATTTTTCTAGTGTGATTGAAGTCAGTTGAGTCACTATTGTCTTTGTAAAAGGAGAGTTTATGATTCATCTTTCCTGTTGGATCTCAGGTGTACCTGTGAGACTGAATTGTAGTGAAAAAACAATAAATATGTTCAATTTATCTATAATTAAGTTCCGAATATATAATAATATTTTTAGGTATTTATTTTAGGACAGAGGGATGATAAAAAACACAATTATGTGCAAGACGATAACTAGTGTTTTGGTGGAGTTTTAAAATTTGCCATTTGGCTCCCTCTAGTGGACATTTGAGAGAATGTCTTGCGTTGTCCAAACAGCCATAAAATAATGTGCCACCGTAAAACAATGTTCATAAAAAATATTGTCTTTCTCCTCCGTAAAAACGATTATTACTGCTGCTTACTGAGTTATCTATGGTAGTTTCGAAAGTCTTCTACGTTTGTCTGTATTATACTGCCCATGGTAGCAAATTGCACACACCAGAAGGAGTAGCAATGAATTAATCATGATGCACAAACTGTTGAATTGCTTTCATTCTATCAAGTACGATATAATAGAGTACAAGATAATAGAATGCAGTTGTTATGTTGTTCATTTGTGAGGGGGGGGGGGGTGATGGTTCCACGTCACCCTCATAAAGACAACCGGTATAGAAAATGGATTTATGAATAAGTTATCGACAAATGTAGGTGCTTTTTTTAATGTAACTTCTGAATTTCATCCTCAATATCGCACAGTAGGAACATTGACTTCATATTCAGCCCCCCCACCAAATCATCTTTGGTTTTCCTAACAAGTCCTCCTCCCCTAGCCCCCTCAAAAGTACGTAGATGCCTCCTGCTGACCTACATTTGGGCTGCTGACTGCCTTGCTCAGGGCTCATTGATATGCTTGATTGTCATTCCCCCCCCC